GGTCTGTATCTACTGAACCTTCTTGTTCAGACCATATATATAAAGTGGAGGGGGTATAAAAACTCCCTCCAATCGTACTTTGAGGACGGATTCAGTACTATTCACAGTTGTAATGAAATGGATACAGTAGCGACGCAATTTCGCGAAGCAGTGATCTCATCCTTTCATGTCTGTCCACTGAGGGTCAAAAGAGATAATCGCAACTCTTCTTGGTGGAACAAAAGCTTTGAAAGTGAAAGAAAAGAAGTTCGATGACTTTTCAATCGAGCTAAAGAGTCAGGTAACTGGGAGCTTTATAAAAACACTCTAACGACATACAACAAGGATATTAGAAAGGCAAAACGGGAGTCTTGGAGTAAGTTCTGTGAGAGTATCTCTGATTCACCTCGCAGCACAAGAATTCACAAGATTCTCTCTAGAGAGCCGACCGCAGAAATTGGGTCGCTTAAACGACCTCTAGTAAAGAAACGTTAGAGCTTTTGATAGAAAACCACTTTCCTGGAAATCTGACTCTTGATAACAACAAACTGCCTATCTTCGAGGGTGCTAAACGCCCAAAAAAGAACGATTGGGACGTCGCAAAAGATGTTATCACAGCACCGGCAGTTGAATGGGCTATCAAGTCTTTTCAGCCCTTCAAATCTCCCGGAGAGAATGGTATATTTCCACTACCAAAAAGACACTTAGGCAGTAATTTATTTGGTTTACCCCATGGTTGTAAGGGGTGGAAAACGCAACCCCTAAAATTTATTTCCAATGTAACTTTTTGTCTTATCATTTGTTTACCATTTAAAAATTTATTTCCGATAGCCTGTTTCATTCTAAACAAAAAATGTCTCTTTGGTTTTTTGCCCAGCATAGTAAATGTTCAATATGTCTACATTCAGACATTACGCATGCGTCTAAACGTCGGCGCATTGAGCCACGTATTCGCTCAAATATTCCTGGAGTCTCTCTGATTACCCTGCATGCATCGATGATGCGGTTTCTTAAGTCCTCTACATCGCGAACAGGAGTACGATAAACCAAATGCTGTAAATGGCCCCAAATATAGAAATCGCGAGGTTTGAGATCCGGGGATCGAGCGGGCCAGTTCTGTGGTCCTCCTCGACCTATCCACTGATTTGCATATGTTTCAGTTAAATGCATCTCCAATAACTCCGAGCCACACGTTAAAAGAAAACTGTTCTTGATGGTTAGTTTCGACAATAGCGTGAGGGTTTTCATCAGCCCACATGTAGTAATTATTAAAATGAATAATCTTGTCCCGAGAAAAACTATATAAAGTACATAAAGTGGGCCGAAGAGACCCACACCCCAAATCGGTACGACCAATCAGCCTTACATCCTTCCTGCTGAAAGTACTTGAGAGGATACTGGACGGACATATCAGGAGGGTAGCATTATATGCATCTCCCCTAAAAACCGGCAAATCGACAGATTCAGCACTAAACAACCTCGTTGAGAAAATCTCTCAATCCATTGACAACAAGGAGATTGCGGTTGCTGTATTTCTTGATATTGAAGGAGCATTTGACAATGCACTACCCAAATCTATAGGATTGTCTCTGACTAAAAAGGGTATAGAATCGATCATAACTGGCTGGATCTATGCCATGCTAGTAAACAGAACTGCAACTACGACTCTTCAAGGCGAGGCTATCAGGTTTAGGGTCACTAGGGGCTGCCCTCAAGGTAAGGTACTATCTTCCTTTCTGTGGTCGCTACTGATGGATAGTCTGCTTAATGCCCTCGACAGAAGAAAAGTTGTTTTGGAAATGACCTCTGACTTTATGCCTCCAACTGTCAACTACGAACTGCCTTATAAAGTACTATTCCCGAGTAGAGAGGACTGGATCCTCCGGGAGAAGGAAATATTATGAGCAGATAGTTATGCGAACTTATGCGACTGTATTTCAAGCGGAAATTTACGATACTGAATTGTGTGCGGAGAGATTGGATATATCCAACCTCACTCACAAGTCAATAAAAATATTCTCGGACAGTCAAGCGGCGTTGGAAGCTCTTGGCTCCTACCGAGCAACGTCTAAATTGGTAGCAAACTGCCAAAAAAGTCTTTTCTCGATAGGAAGACTTAACAGATTGTCTCTGGTCAGGATTCCAGGCCATACTGACCTGGAAGGCAATGAAGCTGCTGACTCTCTTGCAAAGGATGGTGCTGCAAGCGGCTTCGTTTGGCAAAGCCCAAACCATCGCTTTGGGCTTTGCCAAACGAAGATTGAATACCTGTATAGCAAGAAGATTTATGGACTTCTGGATTAGCTCACTCCAAGACGTTCATTCACCCCTCATTCACCCCTCTAAGCATGATTCCAAACAGTTGTTGACTACAGTAGGGATGAACTACGATGTCTAACAGGCCATCTTACATGTCACTGTCATTTAAATCATCACATGCAGAGACTTGCACTGTCGGAAGACAGTGTGTGCCCTGCTGGGGACCGAATCAGGTTCTTTGAGTTCGGTAGATCCGTACTCTCACCATCTGACCTGAAAGACCACTCACTATACAAACTAATTAATATTGCGATCTGGGCAAATACTGGGTAAAGTACTGATTTGTGTTGCATAATATGGTTACGATGATAATTGTGTATTCAAAATAACACTTTATTGTGAGATTTTCACCAAACAGTTTTACAAAACGCAACACGTGTTTCGGCATACAATGTCTTCTTCAGGCGTTTCGGGAATAAAGACACGCCCAAAGAAGCCATTGTATGGCGAAACACGTGTTGCGTTTTTGTAAAATCGTTTAGTGAAAAACTTACAATAAAGTGTTTTTGAACATGTTAGTTATGGATTTTCATCAAGTATCAGCCAATTTCATAATATATCTAATTTTTTGCGTACATAACAATAAAATCGTAATGTTGATGGATTTTGAAATTCCCTACCATTTCTTAATGGAAAGCCCATTTCATTAGCTGAAGACATAGTCTTCTGAATATGAGGATTGAATGATTTTGTTGAGGTCAAGAATTTGAATTGAATTTCTCAGGGTTCTATAAGTACATTAAAATTTCAATTGGAAAAACGATGACGTTCCATATTTTGTGAAAATTGACATTTTGGTGGCATCTGTTGACTAATGACGTGAAGTATAAGAACGTCCAACAGCTTATGGAAAAAATAATTGAGTATCACTAAAAATGACTCTGAAAAATACATTACACGGTTGAAGAATTATGAGACTTCTGAGCGCCCTATAAAGAACGACGAGGTTTCAGCTCTCCAGTTTTTTGCACATTTCAAGTTACCTTCTGTTCACTGTTTTCTGTGATTATCACAGGTTTGTTCTGATTTTAACATCTGAAACTGTTTGGAAACTGCGCAAGACATGATGCGTACACACAAAAAATCACAAACAGTCCGAAATAGTCTCTGACACTTGGTTAAACCAGAACACAATTTGAGGAGACCACTGTGCCACCTATCGTATATATGAAGTGATGAAGACGAGAAAATACTGTCCATTTTGTTATGTAGCGTATCCTTATAGTCAGTTCAAATGTTATCTAATCTCAATCATCAATTATTTATTCGAATAAATAAAAAAACATCTTGGCAAATAGCCCAAACAAATTTCCATATGAATACGCGTGAACAACGGAAACAGTTCCCAACAGTTCAGCCTCGAGAACAAGAACGATTCGAGACGGTTCAAGACAGTTTAGGATTTTTTCGCAGTCGAAACCAGAACAGGGGATTCATCAATCCGAACTTATCTTCAATAAACCAGAACGCTCTATATCAATTACGCATGATCCTGACGTCCTAGAACCTGAATTTCGTAGAACCAGAACAAACCTCACATTGTTGTTACCAACTTTTGGCTTCTCTTGCTTATTTTATGAAACAAATTGAACGCAAGTCTCCGCGAAAAAATAATCCTGTACACTAACACTCAAGACTTGGATATGAATTATCCGGTGCCAATTCAGTACTGTCTAAGTTTATTCAACCACCAACCACAAACCTTACATTGTCCTCGAAAAACCTCAACTGGTGTCATCTGTCCCAATTGAAAATTATTTCTCATTTCAGTTTCGAATGAATTGATAAGGGTTGAAGAACCATCAACGTCTAAAAGTTTATCTGCCGTACATATCAGTGAACTGGCTCTTGTGGAAATATCGCCCGCTAAAAATACTATGAAAATTCTCAACCCAGGTGTTGTGTCGGTTGGTTAACTTACGCATCAACGAATTCACATCAAGAACAAACAAACCCAGATTCTTGCTAATTCCAATTACTTTAGATCTTTCTGGTAAACGGCTGAGGCCACCGGCAAAAATTTCACCAATTCCACAACTCTACCTATCGGTGAAGATGGTAGTAGCGATAGTAGTGAAGATGCCTGAAAGAGCTAAACAACAAAACCTGGTCAAAAACTCCTTTATGAGCGATGCATTTGTACAGTGGTTAAGAACCGGATTCGCATCCCGGGGGCGTGAGTTTGAACTCAACTTTGGCAACATCTAGTTGAATAGTCTGGCAATAGTCATGATACTCCTCACATGAAGTATCATTCAGTCAGCTGTATCGTTTGAATTAGGATAGTAATATGCCATGCTCAATGACGTTATTAGAACAGTAAATTCAGTTTTCGAAAACTTCCTAAACTACTTTAAACTAGACAGTTTGTCTCGTGTTTTTCCTGATAACAAAACATTTGGTTTTATAACAGTCCATGTTGGGCCTAATCTCATTTATTTGTATATCGATCAGTTAACATCGAAAACTAATGGAGGACCGTTTACTGGACAAGAACATTGAGATATGATAATAATTCGCCTAATTGATGATAATCAAACTGATCATTTGCTCTTCTGAAACTCATTCGAACATTCGATTGAAACATTGAAATACTCTTAGCTGACGTGTTATAGTATGGTGCTTATTCGAGTTATCTGGGAAAATTTTTCCGCGCATGTTTAAGGGTTGTACGATACTTCATAGTAATTCATAGTATCACATTGACCTAGTCAGTATGTATTCGAACGAGGTTTAAAATCGAAATATGGATTTACAGTCAACGAAAATCCTGGTGGCGGTGCTCTTTTCCTTTGTCAGATTTTTTTTCGGTATTCTGCCGGTGAAGCTCTATAAGTGTCTGAGGAAGTGGGAAGGAGATGACGGCTCTGGCAAGTTTGTGAACAACAAAAGACATACTCAAGTGAACTGTGCTATAGCTTTGTGTCAATCTTTCGGAGGAGGAGTTTTGTTTGCCACTTGTTTTCTGCACATGATGTTAGAGGTTAGAGCATTCTTGTTTTCGACTTACAAAATCTACCGGAATATCACAATATACAGGGTCACCATTGAAGTCACCACCACAGAACTTTTCTTTTTGATAGACTTACATTAATTTGAACTTTGTCGTTGGTTCGTGTTTCGAATAAAAGAAAAAATAACACTTGTCGTTAGTTTTTACCATTCAAATTTCATCATTTGGAACCCAATTTGAAAGAAAATTTGAATGACGGTATTAAATTTGTGTAATTGATGACATGTTTATTTTGTGGAAATTCATAATCACTTCAATGAAATGAATGAAAACACTTTTGTCTAAGTAGGAAAAATTTCTTTGTTTTGGCAAATAAACCTCATAATTGTCCAAACACCCAATTTTGGTATTTTACGAATGACAATATTTTGTTACTAACAACAAAAAGAAAAAATTTGAACTCGTCGTACCACTCACTTGACACCATTGAGTTATTTGATAATAATTTTCAAAACGATAATTTGTATCTTGAAGCCGTTCTACTAGCCGTATTTATTTTGCGAATCAAAATATGTCTGCTATAATGATAACATTGAAGCCGTTTTTGAACAGAATAGAAAATACTGGAGAGTCATATTAATGCGGTTGGAAAAAATGTGTTTGATTCGATACAACAGTATTATTATGAGTAATCATGGTGCTTTGAAATTTTGTTGAAATACTCTTTGTCAACTATTCTCAAGTATATCATGACAATGTCATAAATTATTGTAACTGTCACCTACTGTTCGAATATTTTTCGAAATGCCCATCAAGAAAAAAGTAGTATGTTAGAATCTTACTTGATTAGCCAGAAAAATAGCGTGAGAGCATTTCAACACTACAGCAATTCTTTCCCATATCGTGAATTACCTAAGAGAACTAAAAAACGTTCTGTAACATCTGAATATGCAGAAATTGACATTTTAGCCTTCTTTGAGGTGAATCCAAATAATCCCATAAGAGATTTATCTCTACCCACTGCCTATTATTCAACGAATTCTGAAGATTTCTCCTTATAAGTTAAGACCAGTGCAAACACTAGAACCTGGTGACGATTGGGATTTTGTCGGTGGTTTATAAATAAATCCAGACAAGATCCAAACTTCTATAGGAATATTTATTATATGGAGCAATGGAGCAAATTGTGGAGTGTACTATAGAAATCATTTTTATTATCGGACATAATCTATTTTCAGTCCAGAGAATTTATTATTAATGTTTGGTGTAGTCTATTTAGAAGAAGAATTATCGGTCCATTGTTCTACCATGGTTCTTTAAACGGACCCCGTAAACGGACCCCGTTGTATTAATTTATCAACAAGAGTTTTGGAAGAGTTCATCGATGATCTTGATCTGGAGGCTCGTCAGATGATCTCTTTTCAACAGGATGGAGCACCAGCACATAATTTCAATGGCGTAAAAAGAATGTTACGAGACTGTGTTGGAAACAGATGGTTTGCTACAAATGGTAAGTGGCCTCCTCGTTCACCAGACATGACAACTCTAGATTCTTATATTTCGAGATTTCGTGAAAAAGACGAGTACAATATAAAACGTAATAATGTGGATGAACTGGAAAATTATACTGAAACTATAATTAATTGAATTGATGGCCGATTGTGTTGAAAGCAACACGTAGTGACAATATAAGGGCCCAAATATGTGTTAAACAAGAAAGCGGTGTTTTTGAATATTTCCTCGATATTTTATAGCTTTTTATTCGCGAAACAAAAAGAAATTTTTTGTACTAGTGAAATAAAAGAATATTACTACATGAGTCGCTCATTTTCAACTTTAGGGAGAAAGGTGATATTAGCTTTGTTGTTGAGAATGTTACTACGAATCGAAATGCATAATAAAACATAGGGTGTTGCATTTGAAAAAATATCATTTTATGAAATATTTTGAAAATGCGATTGTCAATTTGTTTTTTGTTTTCGAAATCAAGAAGGTCATTGAAAATTCTACTAGTTTGCCCATTTGACTGAATTTGTAGCACCAATATTAACGGAGTTGGCAATGGTGCCGACTTAGTTTGAAACTTTCTGTATATAGAATAGAGTTTGGGGGATGCTCTGCAGTGTATACAGGCCAAATCGGTAGAAATTTTGACGTGAGGCTTCGTGAACACATCTGTTTGACCAAAAAATCTACAATGTATAAATATCTGCAAGAATCAAAACACAAGATAGGTAAAGATAATCCCAAAATCCTACACACACGTAATAAAGGGAAAAATGAATTTGTTGGGAGCCATGAAAATTGATAAATCAATTGAAAACTGGAAATATATAACACCAAAAGAACAACTCGATTTATGTGGGGGAGAACAGGGCAATGGGAGCCTACTAAGGGGAAGTTTGAATAAAAACCTCGTTAGCCAAAATTCTTTTTTTTTTATTATAACATTTTACTTTTGTTATAAGAGAACACTTCAATCAAAGTTATAATCAACTATAGACATTTAGATAAGGTACAATCACAGTTTTACAAAAAAAGTCAGTCGCTTCTGTTACCTGACAAATGCGGCTAATGAGAGCCCATTTAACGCTCATACGGGAAATAGTAGCCATTATAGTTACTAAAAAAAAAAAATTAACAAAACGTACTATAAATGATACCTTACTTATTATAATTATCAACACAATAAAACTATCAGTAACTCAAATCAAAATAAAAACAAATTCAAACAAAAAGGAGAAAAAATATGAAATTATTAATGGAAAACAAAAAATCTGGATTATCACTGCCTGAACACTCTTTATGTCCAATTTCAGCAACTTCTGCATCGGTATCACATCTCTCCACATTTTCCAGTATCTAAACAAGTTGCACTTACATTATTCTCTTAAGAATATTCTGACTCATCATAGGAAATAGTATTTTCGTCTACTTGATCAATAGATGAGTCTTCATCATCACTTTTAAACAAATATTTTGTTGCCTTTCTGATACTTGTGTTTCTTGTTGTAGTTTTCTTAATTTTAATCTCTTCATCTTTGGTATGTTTCTTTTCAATACATTTACCTTTGGTACATTTTCTCTTGACACAATTTTCTTTATCACAGTTTCCTTTATTTTTCATAATTGTCTTTGTCTTATTATCTTTTTCAGTTCATTTCCTTTTTTTTTCTCAAATACTGCTTCATTTGGAGTACTTGTTATTATTACAGAATGCTGTTTGTTCTTCAACGGTCTTTATTTTTGAGAGATGGGTTGGTTGGGGCAGTGGACTGACAATGAAGACTACATTAGCAAAGTCAATATTGGACTGAGATGCGTTAAATCTGGCGGTGTGTGTCTTCAGAATAGCAGGCGTTTCCGGTGTTAAATATGATGTGGGTGGAATTGAAGGTTCCCTCTGAATGATTTCTGGTTCAATTTCCAGACCATAAAAAATAGATGGACTTATTACAGGGCTAGTACATGGTTGCTCAGCCTGATTTAACGTTGATAGAATAGAAGTGATATTCGTTGGCTGCTGACGAGCGTCAGCCACCGGTACAGTTAATCTGGATTCCTCATTAAAGAAGTCATCATCGCAAAAAACTCCAGGATTCGTTGGAAATATTATCGTTGCTTTAAAGTTCAACACTCCTTTTTCTATAGAAGCAACTCTGGTATAGGTTTTATTTAACAGTCCAGCAATGTCATATGAAGAAATTTTTATCAAATTTCTAGATTTTATATACAAGTTAAACTCTTTGTTATAAACTCTTTTGAGCGGGGAATAAAATGCAACGTCAAGGAATTGTAGATTGTGGGACTGTAGCATCAGGTTTGGTGTATTTAATAAAATGACAAAGCCATACAACAAATATCTTTTCGTTAGTCCAGCCATTATGTGAACATGTGTAAACGGCTCCCACTGGTCCATCTTTTTCCAGCTGTGGTGAGTGACGTTGCCGGGGAAATATGAAAAGCGGAGGAACAAAAGATCCAGACGCACTCATAGCACATATTACTGTGGCCGTCTTACCTCTTTCCCATGATGTTACAGATCCGACGCGTTTTTATCCTTTGGGAGCTATAATTTTTTCAGTCTCCTGGACGGTCGTTATACCAGTCTCGTCTACATTGTAAATCATTTGAAGCTCGAAGTTAGGTTGTTTCATCAATATCTCCAAATTATTGAAAACAAAAACGTTATCTCAGTCCCGTTGAATCCAAGGATTTGGTTGATACCGATGGCTTCAGACTTTCTAATACTCAAATCTGGATGACGCTGCATAAATCCAGCCAGCCAATCTTTTTCTGCAGTCTAATTGACTTGGTTAAACCGTTCCTCAATACCTAATTGTTTAGCTACACTGTAACATACTTTGCGAAACGGTTCTCTTGTCAAACCATAAAACTTATTTGACATAGTCCGAAGATGGTTAGCCAGTATTTCTTCTTGGGCAACATTAAATACAGTACCTCTTCCCAGCTTAGGAGAGTTTTTGTAGCTACTATCGTCATATTTCGCTAAATTGTATCTCTGTAAGAGTGCTGTAAGGAGTGCCAGTCTGTTGAAATACTTTGTACACCAATACACCTCCAGATATCGCATTTTCTAATGAATCCAATGTCCAAGAAGCTTTTGTGGTTGTCCGAACTCTTTTGCGTGGCATCTAAAACAAAAAAAACAAGGCATTATGTTTCTTAAATGACTAAGTGGGGTAATGTCGGGTTATGAGAGCCTAGCTAGGCTGCCATTAGCCGCTGACCACCATTTTGAAAAGTAATAACAAAAATATGTAATTCTATTCTCAATCCCAACTTAACTAATTGGACTTGTTAGTAAATGAATGAATGAATAAGAATATAATTTCATGCTTACCTTGATGCTGGCAATCGGCAATTTCTTGTAAGCGTGGAGCGAAAAACATACAAGCGTTCCTAGTGACTAAACGAATGGCACTAACGGTTCGAGCCAGCGTTGTTCTAGGGAGTTTGTTTTTGGTACTGAATTTATCCATCAAAAAGTACTGAATTTGTAGTAAACA